AGTTAAGACGGGTTCTCTCATTTTAAAAATGGAATTTAAAAGCATATAACTTTTGCTGAAGTATGCCTAAGGGTTGCCCCTGCTATTTATGGGCTAAAACTCTTTGGGGGCGGGTTTCTCCCCAGACAGTCTTGTATTCTCTACATTATTCTCTTTCTTTTACAGTTGTTTTAAAAAGAAGGAAAACTGTGTAGGGAGCAATATGCATACGAGTGACGTTTTATTTAAGTTGGTCAAAATTCTTTAATTTGACCATGGCGAATTTTTAGTTAACCGGTACAGTCTCTTTCTGTGGAACAGTCAGAAGGCAGTTGTGGCTAGAAAGACAGCAGCAAACACATTATTTGAATATGGCTGGCAAAGAATGCAAAGCTGGGATATACTCCTGAGAACATTTCTGGGGTTTGTATTGACCAGCAAACCATTGCTGTGAATTTAGTCCCGTATGTTGTAGATTCCCAAAGAATCTGTTTTCTTCTTCAAAATTTTGTTTCTCCATTTACAAACCATTTTGTTTTTAAAAAATTAAATTCCCTGGCATGTATTCCCTGGATCACTCAGAGGGGGTAAACTTGGTGCCTACGCTATATGTCCAGGGTTCGGTATGGGCTTGCCACCTCTGGGTTGAGAAATTCCTGGAGATTTAGAGGTGTAGCTTGGGGAGGGCGGGGTTTGGAGAGGGTGTAATGCCATAGATTCCACTCTCCAAAGTAGTAATTTTCTCCAGGGGAATTGATCTCTGAGGGCTCCGGAATGGGGGGCGAATCTGTGGGCTGTGGACTCCAAGTGTCCAGTATAACAGTTTATGCTGCAGGTAAGACTGTTATAGTTTAATGCCCCTACGTACAAGAAAAAGATCCCTGAATTAGCAAACTGGCATGGCAGTGAAAAGGCTAGGACACAAGCCTTTGGTTGCATAGTTTATGCAACTATGGTTTATGCAACAATCTGTGGTTAGTCTGCCAGGCGTAAGGAACCTATCCTCGCTTGTGTATAGGCCTTTTGCCAAGGTGGAGGGCGGGGGAAATAAAGTCTGGCATTTAGACGAATTGGAGTTGGATCAGCTTGGCTAACTTTAAGGTGGCAGTCGCTGAAGGCCAGTGTTGTTTCCTTTTCTATGTATGTCATCCAGAAAGTTCTGTTTTATTGGACTTCTTCATTTAAAGGCCGCGACTAAATGATGTTTGATGAAATCATTGTTTATAAGCCGCAGTTTATCATCTGAAAGCTTCCCCAGTTATCTGTGACCAGGGAATCATTGTGTGAGGAGGAACATGCAAATGAACATAATTGTCAGTTTTGCACATGTGAATGTGATCAGTTATCAATTGCTAAAACCGCAAGAGAACTGTTGAACCACTTTGTCCCTTGCACCATGACTTCAATTCTTAATTTATTTCCCACGTGCCTGTTATTTTCCTTTAGAAATTTTAGGGAGATGGGGGGGGGGTTTCTTCCACACAGAAAGCACATAAAATACATTTTGAAAATGCATGCTTTGTCATGTTTGACTAGCGTCCAATGGCAAAACCATTACGGCCTGAAATTTCGGGGATCAAAGGCTAGAAGTTAGCTGGCTGATCAGCCTGAGTGTCCAAATTCATATTCAATGATCATGCACCACTATGTTAGATTCTTAGTATAGTAAAGGCACATACTAAACATTTGAGAGGAGAAAGGAAACTTGCCATTCAGACTAACTGTGGCATTGTGGCATGAACTCTGGCAGGCAAGAAGCAACAGACTTAGTGGATATATTTTGAGCAAGCTCTATAGCCCAGGCAAGCCTAGTCAGATCTCAGAACCTAAGTCAGGGTCAACCCAGGTTGGTGTTTGGAGGGGAGACCACCAAGGAATACCAGGGTTGCTATTTATTTATTTTATTTATTTTTATTTTATCAAATTTATATCCCGCCTTCCCCGCCGAGGCAGGCTCAGGGCGGCTTACAACATACATATAAATCTGAACATTAAAAACTCCAATATATACAAAACAATATCAGTTTAAGAATGCAATATAAGATCACAGTTACACAGCACTTAACTATAATACAAAATGGCGACATTCTGTCACCGTTCGAGTGGCCACCTCCAGGCTCCTGCCAGGCTGTTAATCATCTGGCTGGTGGTGATGTTAATATTAAGGCCAGGTTGCTGATGATGTTGATGTTAGGGTCAGGGCCATGGTGTCGAGGCGGCACCCTACTGGAAAGCCTGGTGGAAGAGCTCCATCTTGAAGGCCCTGCGGACTTGCAAAAGGTCCCGCAGGGCCCTGATGTAATCCGGGAGCTCATTCCACCAGTGCGGGGCTGCCACAGAAAAGGCCCTGGCCCTCGTTGCGGCCAACCTGGCCTCTTTCAGGACCAGAAGGGCCAGGTGATTTTGGGACCCAGATCTTAATGCTCTCTGGGGCACAAGTGGAGAAAAGCGGTCCCTAAGCAATGATATTCCCAGTAGTCATGTATGGCTGCGAGAGTTGGACTATAAGGAAGGCCGAGCGCCGAAGAATAGATTCTTTTGAACTATGGTGCTGGAGAAGACTCTTGAGAGTCCCTTGCACTGCAAGAAGGTCAAATCAGTCAATCCTAAAAGAAATCAATGACTGTTCCTTGGAAGGCCAGATAATGAAACTGAAGCTCAAATACTTTGGCCACCAAATGAGAAGGGAGCCCTCGCTGGAGAAGACCCTGATGCTGGGAAAGATTGAAGGTCAAAGAAGACGGGGACGGCAAAGGATGAGATGGCTAGACAGTGTCATAGATGCAACGAACATGAAGTTGAGCAAACTTCAGAGGACGGCGGAAGACTGGAAGGCCTGGCGTGATTTTGTCCATGGGGTCGCGAAGAGTCGGACTCGACTGTGCGACTGAACAACAACAACAAAATAAGTAGGTCCCCGACTATGCAGAGGCAGGCAATGGCAAACAACCTGGGAACATCTCTTGCCTTGAAGACCCTATGGGGTCGGTCGCCATAAGTTGGCTGTGACTTGATAGCATGGGGGGGGGGGAGAGTTGAGAGATACTTGCCATGTAGGCAATTGCCGGCCATCCTGATTTCCCTTGAAAGGGAAATGAAAAGCTTTCCCAATTTCCACACCCTCCGTGCTGCATGCATGCACACGCCTGGACTAAAGATAATTTTACAGGCTAAAAGGGAACACTTAATTACTATTTTAGATGGAGGTTTTATTAGCAACAATGGCACATCATTATTTTGGCAATGTAGATGTTGCCCATGTTTTGCAAGGAAACTCCCAAGGGAACAATACCGTAGCTCTTTGGCGTCTGTGGCTTGATACTTAGCATTTCCAATTAAGGGAACTGATCACAGAACACTGATAGGCCAATGCCCGAGGGCCTATCCAGACATGGCTTCATTTTCATGTATGCTTGCAGGCACCAATAATTGTCGTGTTCCGTCTGTTTGCAGTAGCACATTTTCATGTTGTCCCGTCTCTTTTTCCCACGTTTCCTCTCCTTGCTCATGTTCTTCTTGTTAGCATGACTACACACTTTTGCTCGGTACTTGTAGAGCTCCAGCTCACCGAGAATGCGGAGCAGAGTATTTACTGTAGGTTGGGTTTACGGTGGTCAAATTATACTTTTGCATTTCACCAGGGACACCACGGAGAGGCACTGTGTGCCATTTCCCCCCCCACTTTTTGGCTTCCCTACAGTGTGTGGGAGGGGTTGGTACAGATGTAGACACACAAGCTTATGAACACGTGAACTGACACATCATCATTTACCTGAATTTTTGCATATAACAGGCTCAAGTTTTTTAAAAAACATTCAGAATCTACAATCAGCAGTGTACCAGTCCATCTAGGGATGCCAACCCCCAGGGGGGACCTGGAATTACGGCTCATCTCCCAACTACAGAGATCAGCTCCCCTGGAGAAAATGGATGCTTCGGAGTGTGGACTCTATCGCATTCTACCCCACTGGGGTCCCTGTCCTCCCCAGGTCCCACCCCCAAATCACCAGGAGTTCCCCAACCTGGATCTGGCAACCCTACCTCCATGGCCCCCCCTCCCCCGTGGCCAGGGGGGGCCTGGTAAACTTATGTGGATATTATTATTATTATTATTGGTGCCACCTTGTGGCCATTTTGTGAAGTTAAAAATAATAAGCCCTTTGTTTTGAAGGAGGTTAAGGAGCATGCTCAAAATGGCAAGGAATCATGGAATGGCATCCAGATGATGAAAGCCCTATACCAATGTGCCAGGAAAGATACATGTTTGGGGTAGTGGCAAGGAAACATGAGAATTATAGCAATTGTGGTTGGCACAGCCCTAGGGCTATTGGCACTGCCTTGGCAAATGCTGGGAGATTCTCCCACCTGGAGAGGAAGGAATTTGAGAGCCAGTTTGGTGTAGTGGTTAAGAGTGGGCGAACTCTAATCTGGGAGAACCGGGTTTGATTCCCCACACCTCCACATGCAGCTGCTGGTGTGACCTTGGGTCAGTCATAAGTTCTCTCAGAGCTGTTCTCTCAAGGGCAGTTCTCTCAGAGCTCTCTCAGTCCCTCCTACCTCACAGGGTATCTGTTGTGGGGAGGGAAAGGGAAGGGAATTGTAAGCCACTCTGAGACTCCTTAAGGTACTGAAGGCTGGAGTATAAATCTAACCTTCTCCTCCTCCTCCTCATTCTTCTTGTATTTGCCATGACTTCCTAATCTCTGTTGCAAAGACCACAGAGGGAATTCCTAGAGCATCACTATGGAAGCCATTTTCCAGTTATTTTTTTCTCCTGCTCCTCAGTTTCTTGAGGGTGAAGGACTGGGCCCACAGGTGGGGGTTTACATGCTGCGGGCAGGCAAATGTCAAACCTACACTGCCCACTTGTTCTGTGCACAAAGTTACACATGGGTAAAGGAAATGTTAGTTTACAAGAGGATAGTTTCATGTGTGGTTGGGTCCCAAGAATATAGTAGGTCAAAGTCTACTGCTGGTCAGGGCTGACAGGGAACTCCTTTGTGCTTTCATATTGCAATACAGAGTTTCTCACTCTTTGCTTTGTGCATTGGTAACTGCTTTAAAACTAACACAACATATTTGATAGATTCAGGTGGGTAGCCGTGTTGGTCTGAAGCAGGAGAACAAAGTTGGAATGCAGGGGTGCACCTTTAAGACCAACAAAATTTAATTCTGGGTAGAAGCTTTCATGTGCACGTGCACTTCTTCAGATACAGTGAAATGGAAATTACCAGTTCATACATATAGGTTACATTACATACAGCATAATAAAGAAGTTTAACAGATTCAAGGACCAAACAGGAATGACAAGCTTAATTTATATGGTTACCATTTGTTTGGGTTTAATTTGGGGGTGGGGCATAGTGAAGGAAATAAATATGCTTTGACACATGCTTTTGTTGTGCATATTCCAATATACGTATCTTTGCACTAACAGATGTCAAGAACGCTTCCCTAGCGATGAAGAGCAGACAGCAAGTCCTTAGTGAGGTCAACAAGCGGAGGACGCTCTTGCAAGATAACAGCTGGATAAAGAAACAACCGGAAGAGGAAACGTAAGGAAGGAACACACACTTTGGCTTTTGCCGAGGAGGTTGCTGTCAGTGTTGTTTTGGGGATTCACTTATTACATAAGTCTAGACCTTTGGCTTGGTTTTTTGTTTTTTAAAAATCGCTTAATCTCTTGCAAATGCAGCCTTCATTAGCCGAGTTTCCCTTGCGAACCCTTTTAAGGAAGGTTTGCACAAGTTATGACTTCTCAAGGAAAAGCCAGCCAAGAAGCCAGCCTACCAAGGGCTTTATTTATTTACTTAATAATCCCCTTGTTTTGGAGTCTTGCATAGACAGCAAAAGCAGGACGCCTGTGGAGCCCCTGGGATGGGGGCACGAGGCATAGAGGGGTATGCCGTGTTCAGCATGTTGTGTGGGCCCATGGGAAGAAGGTTTTCTGAGCCTGCTGCAAGTCTTTCTCTCCTTAAATCTTCCTGACAGATGCATCCTCTTTGCAAAACTTTTTTTAAAAAGGAAGCCAGGATTAAAATACTTCTCGGGAACAGCCCCAGCTCCTGAGCAGTAACGGCACTGGGTGCCCGAAGTCCAGCTCCACAGAGGAGCATGTGCCTTTCTCAACTCTGGCCTCCTCTAGGGATGCCAGCCTCTATGGCCTTGTACCCCACTGAGGTCCCTGTCCCCCCCAGGTTCCATCCCTGAATCTCCAGGAGTTTCCCAACCTGGATCTGGCCACCCTCCCCCCCATTTCCCGCCAGTGGCCGGGGGGGACCTGTCAATCATACCCATCACTGAGTTGTATTGGCTACTTTTGCCTGACTCTGTGAATGGAGGATGTTTCTTCACATCTCTGTTTCCGGACTGCCTCCCTGCTTTGCTTTGCTTTGCTTTGCTTTGCTTTGCTTTGCTTTGCTAGGGATGTTCCCAGATGTTTCAGCTTTTAAGCTGCTGCTTCTCCCTTCCCCCTGCTGCCTTTTCGTCTGACATGGGAGGAACAGCAATGAAGCAGGGGCAGTCTTTGTGATTCTGGGACCCTGGACAAAAGTCATGGATGGGGCCCCAGAACCGCAGCGTGCAGTGAGCATGGTGGCTTCCGGGCAGCGGCCTGAGAGTCAGTCAGCTCAGCTGTAGGCAGTCGGGGAGGGCTCCCCCCAGCTTAGATCTGGTCGCCCCAGCCATTCCCTGAGTGACTCTCCTACTTGCCATTGTCATCTCGGTAGCCATGACAGTGGTTGGGAGGGAAGCAGGGGACCTCAATAGTCAGGGGAAGTGTTCCCTCTAAGCCGAGTTAGCGTGAGCTAGCTCACCGTTTTTTAGCCTCCGGCTCACACATTTTTGTCTTCACTCAGGAGGGGATGGCTCCGGAGCAAACTAATCCGTGCCGTAGCCAAATTGCTCGCTGACAACTTTAATGCCCGTAGCTCACACAGTAGAATTTTTGCTCACAAGACTCCGCAGCGTAGAGGGAGCATTGGTCCAGGGGTACCTCCCATGCAGGGGCCTTGCCTCATAGTGAAGGTATGGAGAGCTCCCCGCCAGCCAGGGCAACTGTCCAGCCCTGAATGCCACTCTGTGCCTCCTTAAAAGCAGGCTCCTCTACCTGATGCTTCAGGATCACTCCACGTGCAGCCCTCTGATGTCACTTCCTGCACATGCCACTGCACTTCCTGTTGCTGGGGCAGTGGTTCAAGTCAAAAAAGATATAATAAGGGGTCACAGTGTGCAGATACATGCCAACAAACAAGAAACCACTGTGATAAAATGACAATGACACATTTAATAAATTCTGTAGACATTGTGCAGTAAACAGAGTCCAACTTATTCATTTTCTCAACAGAGTCCAACATATTCCTTTTCTCTTGTCTCGATGAGTACACCGGTTTTTACACTCATTTCAGCTATCTTCCTCATGAGTAATCTTATAAAGTTGGAAGGTATTTTCTTCTTAGTAAATTATCCTGTAAAAAGCATAGTTTTGAGGAGTAGAAACAAACATGAAGCTGAATGTAATAATTTTGTTATCACTTTTAACTAGAATAATTTTAAACTTACTTTCAGTTCCATTGCATATACTAGAATAGGAGCAAGCCAATAACTTAATTTCTATTCGTAGCAGCCAGTCCAAAATTTTTATGTGGCAACAGGCCTACTTTAAATTGGCTGGCATTTGCTCTCCATTTCACATTGTTGGCTGGTAGCTCTCTATTAGTATTGGTAGCTCTCTATTAGTGAGTGCATTTCAGCATTTCATATCTATCTGGCTGAAAGCCTTCTTTCTGTCTCTGCTGGTCTCTCCTGTAGAGACAATGCCCTCATACTCCCACACACATGAAGCCGGGCAAGCTGGCCGTTTGTGATGGAGAGAGTACTCTTTAGATAAGGCTTCTTTCTCTCTCCTTTTGACTGCAACTTGAATATGAGCTGGATCTACTTGAATAAATGTAAAGTTTACCTCTTTTGCAATACACCTTGGGAAATTTATCTACTGCATTTAATATCACGGTTCTATAACTGGGCAAACTCTGCTACATTAACCGAATTTCCCAATACCCACCCCGATTTGTTTGTATCTAGAAATAGGTTTTCAGAGAGACATTGCTTCCGAATGTCAATGGTTCCATTCAGCTATCATGGCTCACAGCCGTTGATAAACCAGTCCTCCAGAAATGGGTCTAACAAAAGCAGGAATCCCCTTTCCTTTGGTCGTGTGGGCTTCTTTGGAATTTGAATCTAGGATCCAAAGAGAAAATCGTCTTCCTAGATCAATAAGCCCATCATTAAACAAAGCATTTGGAGCTGTGGTGGCTCAAGTGGTTAAGACGCTGAACTACAGGCTGTGGAAGGTCGGTAGTTCAGCAGTTTGCGATCCGAGTGTGCCGCATGACGGAGTGAGCTCCCGTCTCTAGTTCCAGCTCCTGCCATCCTAGCAGTTCGAAAGCAAGAAATTGCAAGTAGATAAATAGGTACCACTTTGGTGGGAAGGTAACAGCATTCCGTGCGCCTTGGTGTTTAGTCATGCTAGCCACATGACCACGGAAACATCTTCGGACAGCGCTGGCTCTTCGGCTTTGAAACAGAGATGAGCACCGCAACCCTAGAGTCGGACTCGACTGGCTTTCGAGCAAGGGAACCTTTACCGTTGCCTTTTAAACAAAGCATTAAGGATTTAGGTACTAGACCAGTTGGGTAGCCTTCACACAAGGGCTCCTATCTCTGCTTGCTCCTCTTGATAAAGCCAACAGCTGCAAACTGAAGAGGGATGGAAGGCCGGTCACCATGGGTGTGTGCATGCGCATGTGTGTCTGATTTTGTATGTAACATCAATGGGAATTCTCCCAGGGGAATGTGCTGAAGATCAAAAGAGATCAAAGTACTGATCAGCCACAGGTGACTCAAGTGATTGCATGTTCGACGTTGCTTTAGAGAGAGCTTGCAGTGTGAAGTATTTTGCAAGACACACAGACCACAGGATTTCACTGGAGATGGCAGATTGCTTGTTAAACAAAAGGATGAAACGAATGTAGATCTGGCACGCATCTGCTCCTTCTCCCACACCCAGGAAGCCTGTGTGATACGCAATCTGTTTCTCATAACGGAAGGCTTCTTCAGAAACTTATTGAGGGTCCCTCAGCGAGAAGATAGACAGGCCTGCCAAAAAGGCAGCCCTTAATGACTGACCCTTTCCCTGGCCCGGATAGCCCAGGCTCGCTCTCCCAAT